AACACAAGTAAACATCTTTCTGGTATTCCCTGCCTTGAGCCAAGATCCATCTGACAACAGCTATGATATCCCTTGTTCCACGTTCTCTTCTGAATCCGGCTTGAACCTCTGGAAGTTCTCTATCAATATACTGCTATATTGATAGAAAAGCAGTAGCTACGGGAATTTTCAGTTTGTAGATTAACTGATATCCAGTCTCCCTCTAAAGATATTTGCAATTTCAAAAAGGATATCTGGGAGCAAACAATTAAAAAAACAACTAAACAAACATTTCTTGTACTACTGTCTGCTGTACTGTCCTAGGGACAAACATCACATCATCTCAACTCAGGGAAACAAGCACAGATAACAGCAAACTACTTACTTTATTTATAAGTGTGTATAAGGCTTTGTCTTCTGCACCATATTTTAGACACTGCCTAATCCAAGTGTGGATAGTCCAGTCTCTCAGGTACCAGCAGTTGGGGCTGTGTCTAAATCTAAATAAAGCATAAGAAGAGCAAAAACTGGTGTTAATTCTTAAGAAATGTCAATGTCAAAGCACATCTTCCATCAGGAGGTCCTTCTCCCAGATATTTACAGATGTGCACTAAGGTGACCAACAGCCAGAAAAGTCAGGGTCATGAAAAACTTGAGGGTAAAACTCATTAACTATAAAATTTGAAACAGGAAAAAAAGGCAAAATTGTCATAAACAACAACAAAAAATCATAAAAACTTTATTCTTTATTTAACAACCCCCTGCTTCAAACTCTTGTTTTAGTATGAGATTTATGAAAAATGATTTGAGGAAAACACTCTACTGACGAAATAGTATTTCATCAGAAAAGAGATGTGAAGCTGAAGCTGACACTTTGGAAGTTTAAAATAAAACAGATGAAACAAAAATGAAAAACAGAATAGCACAGTAACTCTGGAGGGAGATCAGCTTTGAGTGATATTCATACTTCTTGTGGTGCTTAGGAGAGAATGAGCCACTCCTCATTCAATCAAAAGAAAACAAAAAAGAAGAAGAAAAAAATGTTGAGCTAACAGGCTGGCAAAATCTAACATTCAGGCTTGCCAGGATCTACAATCCCTCCTCTTCCTCCATTCTTCAGTCTTTCCATCTCCTCTCCCTTCCTATATAGCTCCCCAGGTCTTCAAAGTCTTTGCAGCCCAGGCTGAGGAAGATCTATTAATAGCATTCCCACAAAGGATGGAACTTGGAAAGAACTGGGAATGCAGCTCTTGCCTTTCATTCACACATATTGGTAACACCTGGGTTTGAAGAGGCTTATCCTTGTTCTTCAGAGTCCAAGCCAAAGACTCAGAGCTGAAACAGGGCTGTGAGGAGGCTGACTGTCCCTCTTGTTTTGGTATCTGCACTGGGACAGATCCTCATACATGGTCATGTCAGCTGAAGACCCCAAATTTTCTTTATTCAGGAAAGAGGTCAACTTCTAGGCCCCATTAAAATCAGCATTTTATTTCTTTAAAATAAATAAATAAATAACAAAAACAAAAAAACTCGGTGCTAAAGGATTCTGTGCCTTACCTGAGTCAAGGATACAAGATAATGTTAGTGCTTTTTAGAGACTGATTATTCAATCTGCCACTATTTTGGGAGTTTCCTGCTGAATAGGTTCTTTGCCAGTAAAAGCAAAGAAAAGGAGAGGAAGTGAGAAGTAGTATTTAATTTAGGCTATTTATTAGTGCCATGGTGAGAGATTTGGCAAAAATAAGATAATCTTAGGTTTAGCTGGAAAATACCCATCTCACTCAATTTTTCTCTACAGAATTAACCTCTTTATAAGCAGAAAGATGAGAAGATGTCAAATTATGTTCAGGATGAAAGTAAGCTGGCCAGAGAAAGGCACTGACAAGATGCCCTAGATACTAGATCTTTATTTTTCATAGAAATGAAACAAAATATACTTTCTAGAATCTTACGTTTTTCCTCACATTTTCAAATCAATAGTCAAGCTACTTGAGCTCTTCTCTTTGTTACCCTTAAAAGTCTGAGCTTTAAAAGTTTTAAGGCCAATGACAAGTTAATTTTATCTTTTTAAAGAAAAAAGTCAAGTGAAATACCAGTCCAAAATAAAAAAAGTGAATGGTGGCGATGCTTCCTCATCAGCTGGTACCCTCCCTAGTAAGTGGTGCTGGTCACAGCTAATTCGTGGCCTGTAGTAGGTGCTCAGTACATTAAAAAGCTTGGATCAACACATTATTATTAAATGGTGTTAGACACTCACCATTTTTTTTTTAAACGTGTGGTATGGACATAAGAATCATCTCTAGGGCAATTTGTCATCTGATCACAAAGAATACACACAGAAATAGTTCAACAATAATAAAAGGTAGGGTGTGATAAATGCCAATATGATATTTGCCGAGCAAATAATTTGAGAAGCTGGACTATATGAAGAAGAACGCAGCATCAGTATCGGAAGAAGACTCATTAACAACCTGCGATATGCAGATGACATACAACCTGGCTTGCTGAAAGTGAATACGACTTGAAGCACTTACTGATGAAGACTAAAGACTACAGTTTTCACTATGGATTATTACACCTCAACATAAATAAAATGAAAATCCTCACAACCGTACTAATAAGCAGCATCATGATAAATGGAGAAAAGACTGAAGTTCTCAAAGATTTCATTTTACTTGGATCCACAATCAACATGGAAGCAGCAGTCAAGAAATCAGATGTTGTATCGCACTGGGCAAATCTGCGGCAAAAGACCTCTTTAAAGTGTTAAAGAGCAAAAATGTCATTTTGAAGACTAAAGTGCCCCTTACCCATGCTATGGTGTTTTCAATCACCTCATATGCATATGAAAGGTGGAAAACGGATAAGGGAGACTAAAGAAGAGTTGATGCTTTTGAGTTGTGGTTGTTATGTGCCATATATAGTTGGATCCGACTCATAGCGACCCCTCCTTGGGCTTCCGAGGCACTATTACTACGGAAGTAGATTGCCCAAGTGGCGAATAATATGGAAAGTACCATGGACTGCCAAAAGAACGAACAAATCTGTGCTAGACAAAGTGCAGCCAGAATACTTCTCAGAAGTAAGAATGGCCAGGTTTCATCTCACCAATTTGGTCACACTGTCAGAAATGACCAGTCCCTGGAGAAGGATACCATGCTTGGTAAAGTGGAGAGTTAATGAAAAAGGGAAGATGCTCAACAAGATGGACTGACACCATGGCTGCAACGACGGGCTCAAGTACAGCAAGGATTGTGAGGAAGGCCTGTGACCGGGCAGTGTTTCGTTCTGTTGTACACAGGGTTGCTATGAGTCGATGCCAACTTGATGGCACCTAACAACAACAGCAACGACACAAAAGGGACTGCAAGATACTAGAGGTTGTTCTGGTTGTAGTGGCTGTTAGGGTTAGTTCATTTTTCCTAAAACAAATAACAACAACAAAAAACAAGGAAATAAGCAAACAAAATAAATAAAAAATGGCAATTACCTTCTTAACCTATGATCGTTTCAAAACCTAATCTCACATTCTTGTTTCGTTCTGCTGTGCATGAGGTCACTATGAGTCGAAAACAACTAGACGACACTTAACAACAACAACAATAATCTCACATTAAACCTAACCTCTGCAATAGGATGTCTCCAATAACCACTAAATGTTGTAACTTTTCTTTCTGACAGGCATTAAAGTAAGACATCCTACCAAACAACCTTTTCTCTTTCTCAAGATCAGAGCACCATTTTGAGGCTTTGCGCAAGAAACAAAGACTGACAGAGAAACCTAGCTGTAGATCTGAAAAGCTCCAACTAAAATTTGTTTAAAGCCTTCTGCTAAGCTTCTGAGTCTAACTTCAACAACTTTATAAAGTCTTATAAAGTTTTCTGTTCTCACATTTTCTTTCTTAGGAGCCTAAAGGGAAAGTCACTCAAGACTTTACACAACTAATATAATCATCTCCCCACAGCAGCCCTGTGAGAGATTTGTCAACACACTCACAGAGGCTTTTAATAAATCCCCCCTTCCCTCTCCTGCTCTGGAACTGGCTACCTGGTATGATCTCTGCTCTCTAAGACCTCACAATCCAGATACACAATCATGTCTAGGACACCTTCAACTAACTGATGGCATTAAATCAATTTAGGAATAACAGTGAAACCCTCACACATACGTTATGAAACACGCTGCCCAAACTGCAATTCCTGCATTCTCCAGCCAGGCAGCAAATGAACTCTTTCCTAAGCCCCCATCAGTGTTACAAAGAGAAATTAGCACTCAATTTATGTGAGTAGCTATTTAGAATATAAGCAACACACAAAACATTATGGTAGCATGGCTCAAATTTAGATGGTGAGTTTGAGAATTCCTTTGATGACAGATAAACATGGGCCCTTTTCAGAACTGTCAACAGTGATAGGGCAGGCAGGTAAGTCTCTGGAATGGGCACTTGCCTGGAATGAGCACCACTGGACGAGTATTCTCCCATTCAGCCAGGAAAAAGGCAAGAAGATAAGAGTACAACTTTGTTGTTGTTGTTATGTGCTGTTGAGTCGTCTCTGACTCATAGTGACCCCTCCTTGGGTTTCTGAGGCGGTATCACTATGGAAGCAGATTGCCCAATCTTCCTTCTGAGGAGTGGCTGGTGGGTTTGAACCGCCAACCTTTTGGTTAGCAGTCAAGTGCCTTAGGCACTACGCCACCAGAGCTCCCAGAGTACAACTAACACATTGATTTTCCAATTTGCCTACAAACAGACTGGCTTTTGTTCTTGCCTGCTCTGACCATCAGCCTGGCAGATTACAGACAGTCACCGTAGGAGTCCCTTCTGTCTTCCATGAAATCAGCTGTTTGCGCACCTCGACAGACGCTTTATTATAGTTCAGGCCAGGTGGCTGCCAAGCTAGGCAAACCGTGTGAGTGTGGACAAGATAAACAAATGAAACCAAAACAATCAACAATACTGTGCTCATGAAGGCAAGACTCTCTCAACTATTTTACCAAATATGAAAAAATTTAAAACAATTTAAGGACATGTGTGTTTCTTGGAGAAACCAAACTCACTGCCACTGAGTTGATTCTGACTCAGAGTGACCCTACAGAACACAGTAGAACTGCCCCATAGGGTTTTCAAGGCTGTAAATCTTTGTAGAAGCAGATTGCCTCTTCATTTTCCTGCGAAGCAGCCACTAGGTACAAATCACCAACTGTTTGGTTACCAGCCAAATGGTTTAACCAAGGCACCACCAGAGGTCCTTCCCTGGAGAAAGCCAAAAAGCCAAACCAAACTCACTGCCATTGAGTCAATTCTGACTCACAGCGACCCTCTTTGGGTTTCCAAGGCGGTAAATCTTTATGGAATTAGATTCTCCAGATTTCCTTCTGTGGAGTAGCTGGTGGGTTTGAACCGACAACCTTCTGGAAGCAAATGCCTGAAGGAGTGGAACAAAAAGAGGAGCGAGAAGGAGGAGATGGAGAAGTATGCTCTAGCTCTAAAAGCCAGTA